GCCCCGTTAGCGCAGAGTCCTGACATCTGCCCAGCTAACAAGAGCCGCCTGTGTGCTGGCAGTCACCGTGCCAGAAGCCGGGGGGACAACGCAGCGGGTGACAGACTTCTGCCCGGCCATCAAGCTGAACGAGAGGAGGGCAGCCCACTCAACAAGAGTGCCTGGACCCCCCACTCCACCCCATCCCACTCTTCCACCACAGGAAGGGGCTGAGGATCTGTCCCCTCCCTTCCCCCCAGCATGTTTTTGGTTTCCCAGGCCCCCCTCCCCACTGCCAGGCCACTCACCCGGTGAGGAGAAGCCCCCTCTGCGTGGGCTCCTGGGCCAGGTTCTTCCCTCCGTCAATGGGCCAAGCCTGGAGGGAGGGATGGAGGGAGGGATTGAGCCCACCCGTGGGGAGCGGGAGCAAGCATCACCCCTCCACCAGCCCATCCTGGGGGGCTCCCTGCCACCCCCATCACTCACTGCAGAGGAGAGCCGGGGGCTCTGCTGCTCGCCGGCGCTGATGATCCTCTCCCAGAGCTTGAGAGGCACATTGGAGACGTGGCCGGGGCAGGGGATGGGCCAGGGGGGGGGCGGGTTTTGGTGCCAGGTACGGGGCAGGGATGGTGGGCCAGCCCGGCGTCTGGAGGTCGATGGCCACCAGCTCTTCCTCCACCAGCACCACAAGGGCACGAGGGTTCTCAAAGCCTGGGGAGGGGGGAGATGGCTGCTGCTAGTGGAGACCCCCACCCACTCCACCTTCTCCCTGGGGCTGCCCTGGCAGGACGTACCTCCTTCAGCCGCCTCGGCGCTCTGCACCGTGAAGAAGTCGATGACGCGGGAGGTGAAGTCAAGCGTGGCCAGGGTCTGACCCTGCAGCACACTGACACAGTGCCGGTCACCGTAGCTGGCCCGTGGCATCCCCCCGCTGAAGATGATGAAAGGGTTCCTAGGGAATGAAACAGCCTCCATCAGACCCCGGACCTCGCAGGGCATCTTCCCCGCAGCCCAGGTTCCCCAGCTCGTGCCCATCACCAGCCCAGCTGCTGGGGGGGGTCATGCCAGAGCAGCCCCCCCATGCCATGGGGACGTACCCTGACTCGCAGGTCCGCCAGAGGATTTTGCTGATGGCTTTGCAAGGGAATGGACCTGAAACAAAAACATCCACCCTGCGGTTGCGGCACTGGGACAGGGAGATCAGCCTCCAACCCCAGTCTCGCCCCCGTACCGTAGGGGATGGTGGACATGACGGGCTGCTGGGTCTTCTGGC